GGAAAAGGAAAAGAATGGAAAGGAAAGGAAAAGAAAGGAAAGAAAAAGAGATGCAGAGGTCAAGGGAAGAATCAGGAAGGCCAGCTTCAGGTTACAGGCAAGAAAAGATATGCCAGTAGTCTGAATAAGGATGGCAGCAGGAAAAGAAAGTGGACTGATTTGGAATATGCTTTGGCAAAAGTGACAATGGGACTGCCCAGCATGACAAGTAGGCAGACAGGTATTTCCCGGATGCAAATATTTCCTACACAAATGTATTTTGGAGAAGAATGAGCTTTGGAGAAAGAACAAGAAAGAGAAGCAAGTGCATGAGATCATCAGGGTGGAGCCCCCAAGGCTGAATCCCGGTGGTTTTATAAGAAGGAGCAAGATCAGAAGAGACACTTATGTGTGCCTTTGTCCTTGCCTTGTAATGTCCTGGGTCTCCTGGGAATCTCCCAGCAAGGGGCCCTCATGTGATAGAGGCCTCTGAACCTGCAGAATTGTGAGTCAAATAAACCTATTTTCTCAAGCCTTGGGAATTTCATTAGAGAAATGCAAAGTGAACTAATACATATCCATTTAATATTCATTACTTGCCAGGTACTGCTTTATGTTCCTGCACACATGTAGTAACTCATCTTTCCTCCAAATAATAGTAATTGCTCCTAACTCACACTTATTGCACCAGAGACTTAGGGAGGTTAAGCAATTTTTCTAATGTAAAGGCTGACAGAACCAGGATTCACACTCAAGTAATCACGCGTGAAACCCTTAACTACCAGGATAAACTGGTGAGAGGTTTCAAAGATGTCAATGTTTTTCCAGTCCACCTCATCTCAGTTATCTCTTTTTTCTTTATTTCTTTTCTTTCTTTTTTTTTTTCAGTACCAGGGATCAAACTTGTGACCAAGCAGGCACTTATCCCACTGAGGCATCTTCCCAGCCCCTCTTTTTTCTTAAGTGTACAAAAATGGATGAAAAAGAATAGTTTTTCAACCTTTTCAACCTTTCTTTGGTTGAGTAATACATTCCTTTCAAAATATGTATAAATCTCTAATATATATTAAAATATATTTGACAGTTAAACAGTATAGTTCTTTCACAAAAGTATTTCTTCCATATTAAAATTTGACACTCATTTTACATTATTTATTTGGGTAACTTCATAGTATTTAACTGCTGGGATGATCCACATCCCAGCAGTATGACTTTTCAAAAATATATCCATATGTACTCACATACATATGTCAGAGTCCTAAGTTCTTGGCAGAAAATTAGAAAATACAGCTAAGCAGAAAGAATTCCACTCATTATTTAATGTATCTATTAAGTGTCTATTTGATGTCATGCAGCCATCGCCAATCAAGCTTTTGAATACAGCACAAAGTATGAAGAGAATACAAAGGAAAAATTTTAAGACACAAAGTCATATAGAAAGTGTGTAAAAAAAACCTAGTAAAAAAGAGGGGTGGGGTGTATTTCAGAGGTACAGCACATGTTCACCAGACACACACACAAAAAAAAGAGTGAAGAAATTAGGAAACAAAGGAAAAAAAAAAAAAAGGAAAGAAAGACCGGTGCAGGCATATGTCCACACACACACACACAGACTAGACAGAACAGAGAGAGAACTGGGGGCACAGGCAGGGAGAGAGAGAAGTAACCATATCAAATGTAAGCAGTAGTTGTTATGCTGCCTGGTGAGATTAAAGATGATTTTTATTTTCTTCTATTTTCCTTTTCTTTACAGTCTCTTTCTTTCTTTTTTTTTTTTCTTTCTTTTTTTTCTTTTGGTGGTAGTAGCAGGGATTGAACTCAGGACTCTGCGCTTGCCAGGCAAGCGCTTATTCTACTGAGCTATCTCTTCAGCCCCACAGTTTTTCTATAATGAATACATATTACTTTAATACTCAGAAAAAAAAGATTTTTCAAATTAAATATTTCTACATATTGTGCTGAAAGCATACACATTCTATCATTATCAGACATCTCATTTGTTGCTAAAGTAGAACCCATTAAGGTGGTAAGGCCCAGAGTCCATAGAATATGTGGATGTTTTCGTTGTTTCAGTTATCTAGTCGTAATGCTTCAAATTAATCCACTGTCAGGAGTATGTCAGGGTGTGTGTGTGTGTGTGTGTGTGTGTGTGTGTGTTGTGAGGCCCTACATAATTATCCATGCTAATTAGTATATATAAATACAAAATAAATTATGGACAACAAACATGGAGTTTTACCTTATTGCTACTAGATTTACCCAGCAGAAAGAGAAACATTAAAACAGATCCAGGGGGGAACTACCTGCTCAGGCCCCCCTCCTGTCCCTCTCTTGGACAGGAGCTTTCTTTCCCTCAATAAATATATTCTGCTCATAAAAAAGTAAAACAGATCCAGGAGACTTTTTAAAAAATGTATTTGGTACAGGGTCTCACTACACAGCTTGGACTCATAGCTATCATCCTGTTTTCAGGTTCCCCAGCTCTGGGATTACTGGCATAGGCTACCACACCTGGTCTTGGTGGCTCACTCAGCGTGCGCCTGGTGGGAGGGGCTGGCACAGCATTGGGTCCCTGCGCTCACCTAAGCAGGTGCTTAGTCTGCTGTGCTATCTCGCTGGCCCTCTGGAGACATTTCCAAAGTGGGAGTGACCCAGAAATACAGGTAGAAAATTCAGATGCTTTTCTCTGTTTCTTTGTTTAGGCTACTTGTTAAGGTAACTTTTTTCTTTTGTTATGTATGTAAAAGTTCAAATATATTTGAGTACACAAAAATATATGTAAGACATCCCATCACTCAGTTTCAGTAATAAACAACATTATTAAAAACTTTCTTTCCAATCTCTTATCTTACACCTAAAAGGAATAATAACACTTATGATCAAGAAAAATATTTAGAAAATTTTTCTAGCATTAAATTAAAAAGAAATGGCTTTGAAAAATCTCAGCCTTAAACTGTGAAGTTCCCTGCTGACCCAGTTACTACTTTTCCTATCCATTTGTTCCATCTTTCCCATGCTTTGTGACTTAGTCTTATTACGCACAGAAACCAAAGAACTGTGGAACAGAACTGGAGAAAATACTGAGCACACACACCTCCCCAGGCACGTGTGGCTAGAAGGGTGGCCACAGGATAACTGGGCAGGAGACTGGGGAGCCCAGTCGTGTTTACACCGATCACACAGTGGGGCTGGCAGAGCACTGCCACACTGATTCCTGATTGTACCTACCCAGACTGTTGTCACTGCTCGTGGGCCAGGAAGCAATTCTGTCCTTTGGCTTCTTCTTTTCACAGGAGTTGTCTGACTGGACAGAGAGATCTATTTCTTCCTTCCTAATTTCTTGAACCAGCTGCATGTGGCACCTTGTAAAATCTTGAAAGGAAATCTTCCCATTTTCATCTGCACCCAACTGGCTCATTATCTCAGGCACAGACTCTTCCATGTTCAGTTGGCGACAGACCATCAGCAAGTCATTGCTGCAGAAGGCAGACACAGAGGAAAACATGTTAGGAGAGACAGCTGAGCCAGAAAAAGTAGCTAATGAAAGAAAAAAAGAGATATTGCTTAAATATATGTGCACACTTAGTAGATGTATGTTCAGCTTTCTTGTTGCTACCAGATAAGTTATAAGGGTACAAAACACTTGTTTTACCTGGGTTATTCAGGACAAAAACTCTATTATTACTTGAAAAGGAAAGGTTAGAATTAAAGGCTTTTAATTCTTTGTTTTCTTTTTCTCCCTGATTCTAGGACCTCCTCTCTCTTCTTTGAAATTGCAGAGCTTAAAATTTTTCTTTACACCTATGAGTATAGCCCTGTGATCTCTCTGCAAGATAAAGTTTCAGAACACAGAAAGGACATTGTTTCTACTTTTGGCAGAATTCAAAATCTAGTCATGTTGTAAAAAAAAAAAAAAAAAAAAAAAAAGATTTTCAAATGCTTGATATTTTAGCCTTCTGAATCACAGCTAATTCTATACTTCTGTAGTGTGTTATTTAATCTTGATTTTCATGATTCAGTGCTCGTCTAACTTTGTTTCTTCCTAATTTTTTTTCAGCACTTTCTATGTTCCCACTAGCAGTTAGTAGAGCCCTAAGACTTAGAGTAGGAATCAAAATCTCAAATGTCTTCCAGGATTAGATGCAATGTAAATGTGTGGAGTGGGTGGATCTAAGACAAGAAGGTAGGAAAGCATGACTAGCCTAGAGTCTCAATTTAGAAAAAAAGAAAACAAAAAAGGAACAACAACATTACATAGACTTAGAACATTTGTCTGGAGCATACTCGTTTGACATCTCACATAAACTTTGTTATTTTCTCTCTACCTCACCACCTGTGAAAACATGTTGCTCATACTGCTTCATTTTTAAGTCTTAGTGAAACTCAAAAGATTGGAGAATTTAAGAGTCGAAAGAGACATTAGAAACTAGCTCATGGCCACAAATAAAAATACTTAACGCTTCCATCTCAACATACCAGAAAAATTCATTAGCTTTAAGAAAGTGACCTAGGGCTGACCAAATAGTTCAGAGGATTGAAGCACCTGCAAGCAGGCACAGGGGCTGAGGGTTTGATCCCTGGGCCTGCTGTGCTGGCCCTGCCCCTGGGGCACACTGAGACAATTGAGACTGGATGTGGTGGCTCATGCCTGTAATCCCTTGGGAGGCTGTAAACAGGGGGATCACCACAAGTTCGATCTAGTAGTGAGACCTTGAATACACTGTAGACCCTTCCTTAAAAATACAGAAAAAAAAAAGAGACCTATTTGATGCCTGCTGATACCTGAAACCTAGCCATAAGAAGCCTACTTCTCACCCAGCCACTCCTCACAAATCTCTTCTCTTGGACAGTGCCCCATGATCTCCCTAAGTGCTACAGGCTAATGGAACTGTGGGATTTTCTCTTATCATGTGTGAAAAGCATGGTTGCCTATCTGTGGCACTAGTGAGAAGTGGGGTAATCTTTAAAAGGTGGATCAAGGCGGGGAGAAGCCTTTGAAGGGGATAGAAGGAGCGCAGCCTCTTCCAGTTCCTCTCTTTGATCCTAGTGGCCCTCAGGTCAGTAGCTCTGTTTCACTGCTCACCTTCTGTCACAGTGTTCTTCCTCACCATAAGCCCCAAAGCAAGGCAGTCAATGGATGATGGACAGCAGCTTCAGAAATAATGAGCCTAAGAAACCCTTCCTCCTTTTAAGTTGATTTTCTTTTGTAATTTGTCACAGAAATGGAAGGCCAGCTGACATGGGTAAAAATCTCCCTCTCTGCCCTAGAATGCTTTTATACTTATTCTTATTTTCCATAAGTATATCAGTCACTGAAATATTCTTAATTTATGTCTTGCCTATGAGACCTATGAGTTGAAGCTGGTTACTTAGCTTTCATATGCCACCCTATTTTTATATCTCATTAAGAAATTTATAAGGGCTGGTGAGATATCTCAGTGGACTAAGTGCCTGCTTTGGCAGGTACAGGGACTGGGGTTTGATACCCTGCCCCAAATTCCATGCTGGCCCTGTCCTCAGGATGTGCTGAGCTGTGACCAAGTCTGGGTGTGGTGGCGCATGCCTGTAATCCCAGTGCTGGGGATGCTGAAAACAGGAGGATCACTATGAGTCTGAGCTGCATAATGAGACCCTGTACCAAATAAAAAGAAAAAAAAAAAGAAATTTATACAAAGCTACATCTTTTATCATGTGTGTATGTATATTATTACATTACCTATGTATTATTACATTAGATATGCTGCTTTATTATATATAGATGGATAAGTAGCTGAATAAATAAATGTACTTGAGAGTAGGCATGGTAAATTATTATTAGTCCAAATTTTTCATTGTTCTACAGTAGTATAATCAATGTATATCTTGACTTTGTCTTCAGAGCTAAGGACACTCATGGTAGGTATGTGCTTGTATGTCCCTTAACTTCACTCTTGACATCTAACTTGTTTGTCCCCTAGGACATTAGTGGACTTCCATTTGTGCATCTGACTTGCCCCACTCTGTTTCTGCCACCTGCGTCAGAAGAACATACCACTACCATTAACCTGGGCTCCAAAATATGCCACCTCAGCCACGCTGCAGACTCACAGCCGAGGAGCCACTCCATCTAACCCCAAAGTGTGTGCCGAGGAACAGCTTCCTCATCAGGCATGGAAGCCCTCACCTGCAATCCCAGCACTCAGCAGGCTAAAGCGAGAGGAATGCTGCAAGTCTGAGGTCAGCCTGGTATACACAGAGAGTTCATAGCGAAACTGAACTACAGAGTGAACCCCTGTCTCAAAATAAGAATAAACTCCTATTGTTTATAGAACTTGAAGCTAATTGTGCAATTGACCTTTTGTGAATATTCAATAGCTAACTGATATGCACAAACAACATATTTTTAGGAACATTTTCTTTTTTTTTCCTTTTATTTTTTTGATACAGGGTGTTGCTATGCAGCTCAGACTCATAGTGATCCTCCTGTCTCAGGGTCGCCAGTGCTGGGATTACAAGTTTGTGCCACCACGTCTGGTTTCAGAGTCAGTACAGCATGCCTGGGGTTCTAGGGCTGGCACGGCTTGCAGTACTGGGGATCAAACCTAGGTCCTTGTGCTTGCCAGGCAGGTGCTGAGACCACTGAGCCATCTCCCCTGCCCAAAAATGGTTTTTATATTACATATTGTTGTCTTCAAATTAGCTGTTCAGATTACCAGATATAAGCATGCAAATTGGTCAAAAGTTATGATAATTTTTTAAAAAAGCATTAACTGCTCCTTTCAATAGACCAGCAGAAGTCAGCAGTACAATTATTCAAGCTATTTGTATATTTACATAAATATTTTTCTCTTTCTTCTTTCTTTCTAAAAAGGCTTTCTAAATTCCAAAAGTTTATGTAATACGATTTTAATGTGAATATTACCTTTTTTTAAACTGAGGACTGAACTTGGGACCTTGCACTTGCCAGGCAGGTGCTTATGCCACTGAGCTATATTCCTGGCAATGTGAATATTCTCTAAATGGTAGAAAATGGTGTTTTATTTTTACCTGTCTATATTTCATAATTTTATGCAATGTATTACCATACTTTCACAAACTGATATGTCATTTTACATTTTAAAAATGGGGATAATAATGGTACCTACAGGGTTGTTCTAAAGATGAACGAGATAATGCATGTAAAGCACTTAACATAGTCCTGGCACATATTAAGTACTCAATAAACAGCAGCCATTATTATGATTATTTTATAATTATTGATCATAGATCTTCCACAATGTGCCAGTTTCATGATCAGAGCTTTGGTAATGAACCATGAACTGCTCAGGGGAAAAGGATGCCTGCAAAGCTAAACTAATTACCTTACTAAGAGGAGCAAACTGTTCACAGAGGCTTTGTCTGCTTCCCTGCCTTTGCCCATTTGCTATGCGTAGTACCCTGGTGAGAACCCAGGTCTGTGCAGGCGTGTGAAGCCCCATTCTATCTAGAAAGAAGATTTGTATTTAGAGATGCCAACTCAAAGTAGAATGTGTAACACTACATTTTTACGTAAAACATAGGATTCTGAGAGACTGGTTTGTAAGACAAAAACAAAATACAAGGCATTCTGCTAATGTCAAATTATAATCTTCAAAATAGAAGCACCAGTTTTTAAAAATGAAATTAAACCTAATTTTTAAAAAAATTACTTTCATTGAGAAACAAATAGCAGACAGTTTCAAAACTGATTAGTAAGACAGTTTCAATAATTAATACATTGCATATTGTTGTCTTTGTAGTGGTTATTCATACTACAAGACACAGACATGATATCCTGTCCAAAAACTATTAGTACAAATCTTTCTTCTCATTGAATTAAGAGAAGGTAGCTGTATACCAATCCTAAATATTTTGTATATACAGATACAAAATGGTCCTTCATTTATATCCCGTTTTTGTCTAGTTTTGTCAGAGATGGGAATTCCATTGTCATTTAAATATTGTAGGTGTGTGAATCCAGCAAAATAATCCAATATAGTCCAGTAGTCCATAATAGTAGTGGGTTATCCATAGGACTGGCAATGTCAGAAGTTGTTGACGTGAGCCCTTTACAGCCCAGCATATTAATATGGCTTCACCCCTTGTGCTTTGTTTTATACTTTTTTGCTGGATGATTAAGGCCAAGATAAAGCAAGACCTTTATTACAAGAAATGTAGCTTTTGGATCTGATAAGGTCAGTCAAATCCCCTCAGGATTTATCCTGTAACCCTGTACCACACTTTGTAGATCCTTTGTCAGTGTCAGCCATGTGGATGAGTCACAGCCATGCTTGACCCATTTGCTCTCTGTGAAAGCCTGAGAGAATGTTTTCTTTCCATGTGACTCTCCTTAAAAACCTAAATTTTTGGTGTAGAGACACAAGGAGCAGCAGTGTGGAGTGGGATAATAAGCATTTGCGGGTGGTGGCTATGCTCAGACCCCTGTGGGGGAGTTGGGAGTGTCTCGACTCCTGGCTGG